TATTAATGTCAACATTAATTATTTTTATAATATTTCTATACTAAATATATGAAAACATATAAATATTTATTACAATATATATAAATATAAATGCACATTTCAATTAATAAGAAAATCCTTAATAAGAAATTTTATCAATATCTCTTTAAATAATAAATTTATATCTTAACTAATGGCAATGATGGCTCAAATTTTCAAATATGAAAATTTATTATTATAAAATTATTTATATTTTAATTCAGTTACTCATATTTCAATGTCTTGTTTCAAAAACAAACATTTCAATCATTTATGAATATTTTTTTTTTCATAATTTCGAAAGATTATATTAATAATATATATATAATTATNTTATAATTTTATTTATTCATTATTTTATTTATTCATTATATTATTTTTTATATTTTATATATTTTTAAATTATTATTAATAATATAATTATCATAATTAATAATGAAATTTTTTTCTCTTTTCTTTATTAAGAAAAATATGTCAACTTTAATTAAAAGAAATATAAGAGTTTATTCTTTTATCATAGTAAAATAATGTTTAAACATTAAGATCAAAAATGAAAGTAAATGGTTACAATATAGTTTAAAAGAATTTACTTCGTTATCTTATATATAATTTACTTCGTTAAATTACATATAATTTATTAATGTCATTTTTGCAAATTCATTAATTTACTATTTTATAAATATATTGAAATACATTTCATGCAAATTTATTCGATATACATAAAAATTTGAAATAATTTTTTTAGTTATAATTATGTTGAATTTTCTGTTAATTTTTTTATTAATTTGAAATTAATACAAATATTAATAGTAAAAATACTCATTTTAATAAATTTTCGAAAAAATTATCTATATAATACTAACTTGTACTAATTTGATTTTTGTTTTAATTTAATTTTTAGATTTATGGAATAAATTAATGTCTAAATTTTTCTCTAAAAATTCAATAGTGATACATTCTGATAGATCTATTAAAATGTATGAAATGTATTAAAAATTATCAAAACGATTTAATCGTGTTTCAGTTGCAGTGGTGGTAGCGTTTTTTATTTGTTGGGCACCATTCCACGCCCAAAGACTATTAGCTGTCTACGCGCAGAACAGTAAGGATAAACCGGAAGATGCATTAGTAATAATCTATACCATCCTCACGTATATGTCGGGAGTGTTTTATTACCTTTCTACGACAGTGAATCCATTGTTGTATAACATCATGTCCAACAAATTTAGAGAGGCTTTCAAGGTAAGTTATCATTTGAGAATTTCTAATCGAAGATTAATGTTAACGATTTCTGTTTTGATCATGAATTTCTTTCTAAGAATAACGAATAATAAATTTATCGTTATATATTTATTTCATACAAATTTCTAATCGAAATTAAATTTATATTTCTATAATGATATATAATTAAATATTGAAAAATTTATTTAAATTTATTATTGAAAATTTTTTATCGAAGGTTTAAAATTTAAATCTTCCTATTAGCTAATTAACTTTTTGCAATAATGTCTAATAAATTTTAATTTTTTATATATTCTTTTTTTATAGAAATGTATAGAAATCAAAATTTAATTCATAATTTTTTTATATTAAAATTAAAATTAATTATTAATTTATTATATTATTTATATTTTTTTATAATTATATATTTATAATTATTAATAATAATGTAAATTTAATACTCTTTTAAAATATTACAATAACAAAATGATATACATAATTGCAATTAAATGAAATTTACAAATATTAATTTTAAAATCAATATAAGTTTAATATATTTAAATATTTCAGCAATATTTTAAAATAAATTCTTATTAAATTAAGTTTCCATTTCTTTTATGTTTTCATTTAAGAATTTCTAGCTTTTAAAAATTATATATACTTAAATAATTCTATCGCTTATTTGAAAATGAAAGTAATTCTCAAGTGGATAATACATGATTTGAAAATATTCTTCAGAATAAGTTAGAAAATATCTGAAAAAACTTTCAAATAATATTTTAATTTTAAAACAAGAAAAAAACTCGAATCCGACAGAGTGTATTAAATAAATTAAAATTAACTTTCAGTCAATGCTGCCGAATTGCTGTGTAAAATGGTCATCTCAAAAATCAGAGCCACGACGACCTATCTACAGTAGTCTATCACGTTATCCGAGATACACATTTAGACAAACAAATGATCGTCAAAATTCACCGTCAATATCCGTCAGTGATGATAATCAAAAGTTGACAAGCATCGTACGAATATCGAACATGACTGAGTATAACAGATTAACCGAACTGAACAATGAGCAAAAATTGCCTAATTCGACGATGAACAAAATCAATAATCGAGAATATAAAAGAAGCGTGTCGAGAGGATCGAATTCCAATCAATTCATTTTGATGACGACTGTTAACGAGGGTAACAACAATATGGCTCCCACTTATACGAACGAGTGTCTATTAAACATTCAGAAACCTTCAAGGACTCTTACGCTTGGCAAGTGAATGAATTTTTATTTTATTTTTTAAATTTGTTAATTTTATGGATGGAATTAAAAGTATATATTTACAAAAGATATTTTGTAAATTAATCGCTATTAATTACCAATTTCAATACTGTTGTGAAAATTTTCTTCGATTATTTATTAACAAAAATAATTCAAATAAAGTTAGATTAGGTTAAGTTATTTGTTTATTAATCCTAATCCAATGTAAATCATAAAATCAAAAATTAAATAAATTGTTAGTTAATTCAATTAAAAATAAACAAAAAATTTTAAATCTTGATATCAATTAATTCTACGTTTAATTTTATTTCAAATTAAAATTAAATAAAAATTCATTTAAACCGATTTAATACATATTATATCAATATTTAATTTTTCCATTGAGTTTGAGCTAGTTTTCTTAATCTGATTGTCATAAGGCCATCAATTATTTATAGTAAAAAATTAAAATTAATTCGATTTAACTTAATTTAAATTGTTTCGAAGGAACATTTTTGTTAATAACATTTTAATGAACAAAAACAATTTTTCAGTAAAGATTTTAATATATTAAAAAGTCATTAAAATTGGAGAATGATTTTTATATAAATAATTATCGGAATTAATTAAATTAATATTAATTAATATGTTCATTTAATTTTTTATATTATCTATATACTCAATTATAATATATTTTTATACTCTATATATATACTCTATATATATTTTATACTACTTATAATATACTCAAATATATATATTCAATTTAAATATAAAAATTTCATCTCATGAAATTCCATTATTAAAAGAAAATATTTATAATTAAATTTATAATCAAAAGGATTATAGAAGTAGAATTTAAAAACTAAAATAAGTGTATGAAAATATACGATAGTATATTTACGATATACGATAGTATATGCGATAATAATCGAATATTATTTTATATAAAATTTATTTAATCCGAATTCTAACTTTAAAAACGTTCATATATATAGAGTACAATATATATATATATATATATATTTTTTCATATATATATGAAATATATATATGAAAAAATTTTTTTTAGCGGAAAATCTTTTTCGGGAAAATAAAATTCTGAACTTTCATGTTAATACAATTTAATTTTTAAAAATATTTTTTATAATAGAATAGAATGCTAAAATTTGAATTTTATATATATTTAAAATTTTAATTATAAATTCATATTTTATTCATATTTATTCATATTTTTAGAAAAACATTAAAACTTTAAAGATTCATTTTTTTTCAAAATGATCAATTAGTTCAAAATAATTTCGATATTTGTTTAGTTTTTTTTTGTGTATAATTTAAAAATATTAATAATATTATAATAATAAATTCAGAAATTAAATCTAACAAGTACATTTTTATTTTTAATATATTAATATTAACTCATATTATTAACATTTTTATTTATATTGAGAATTTAAATATTTTCCTGAACTATTATAAATTTTTTTTGTATAATTTTTGTATAATTTTAAAATTATATAATTTGTTAACATTTTAAAAATTTGAAAAATTTAAAATATTCCTAAAGATCAAAAAAATTTGTAAATTTTAAATTATTTCTTCTTATATTTTTTTTTTAAATATACATTCTAATGTTAATANTTATAATATATAATATGTAATATATAATATTCATATTTGATAATAAAATTATTATTGAAAGAAATATAACAGAAATTTATTATTTATTTATTTTTAATAGAAGATTTAAAAACAGAATATCAATTTACATAATTTTAATAATAATAATTTTTCAAACTCAAAATTTAAAAATGTATCAAATATTTATATACGGATATGATCTTATATATTATCATATTAATTTCTTTTTAATGTTTTAATTTAATTTGTCTAATATTTACAATTAGTTAGTTAAGTTAAGTTAAGCAAGTTAAGTTAACTCTACAATTCCATTAACTCCATTAAAATAAAATATTTTCAAAGTTCAAAATCATTTAAAAAGATATTTAAAAATATCTGATAATAATTAAAATAATTGTTTAGTTTTAATAATTATTAAATTAAGTCTAAAAAATAATTATTAAATATTATAATAAAAAAGTATTTTCACATATACACATAGTATATGTATATATATAGTACATATAAATAGCACTTTCTATATGCTATTTTTATTATTTTAATAATTTACATAGAGAAAAATTTATTTGTTGGGTGGAGAAGATGATTTGATAATGATTTTTTAAAAATGATGTTTTTTAAAAAGTCCTTGAAATGGATTGTAAATTGCTTATAGAAGCATTAAATACTTACATAGTTATAAATATTTATAAGCAATACAAGTTTAAAAATTAATAAAATTTAAAAGTAAAATTATAATCATTTGACTAATGATTATCTCAATTATATGTAAAAATTTTCAATATATGGAAAAGATTAATAAGTACTTCATAATATTTATTTCATTATTTATTTATGTAAATAATTAATCAACATGTTTTGATATTTATATGAATTTTTAATTAATATTAATATAATTAATAAATATAATAAAACTAATTATTTAATATTTTTCTTGCATGCATAATATTTTAAAAATCACATATTTGATATATTATATAATTTATTGAAATATATTGTAATAAATATTATAGCAAATAACACTTATAATTATACTTAAAATTAAGTTCATTAAAAATAAAAATTTTTCCATATTAAAAATCAATTTTCAGTAAAAGGTTTCAATCACAGGAAAATTTTTGATCTACAATGATAAATTAATAATTTTATAAATTATAATTAATCAATATTCTTTTTTCAAATAGGAATACTTGCCGAAAAATTGAGATTGGAAACAAAAGAATTATTTTCACCTCAGCAGAAAACTAAGAGTAATCTGATGAAATTGGAGACAACGCCAGCCATCAGCCCATCTAGATTTCAAAGTCACCCAAGTATCGATAGTGCAAATACTATCAGCAATTCCAGTTTACAAGATTATGATGAAACAGAGTTCAGTGGCATGGAATTGGCGCGATATATGGGTGAATTAAATTGTGATTTAATCGCTTAATATTCACTTCAAAATGAAATGTTCCTCCATCGAATAAACGTAGCATAAGTATTTAATATAATTAAGAATCGTTGTACCAAATATCTCGAAAAAACTAAGAATTTATAAAGTTAAGAACCTTAGATATAAAAATTTATATATTCAAAAAAAAAGAAAATAAATAAAAAAAAAATAAAGAAAATTGGAAAATTCAAATCAAATAAAAGAAAAAATATTCATCTTTCAAAAAAAAATGTATTTATTTTTCTTATAACATATTATTATTAAACAACAAGAAATCTATAAATAAAATAATATAAATAATATTAAATAATTAAAATATAAAGATTTCCAATATATAAGATAAAATAAAACACCTAAAACAAATCATTTGAACATCTTGACAGTTATTGGTAATAGAAAAAAATATATAGCATTCAATATCATACAAGTTTGATCTGAAATATCTTTTTTATCATCAGTAATAGTCGAAATATTCAGACCTATTTTATCTTACACATCTTGTATGGAATTGTTCACATTAAAAAAGAAAAAAAAACATATTTAGCAAAATTTAATATTATTAATTGAAATAAACCTTTATATTATTTATTTAAGCTATTGTAATTATTAATATCTTTTTCATGTAAAAAATTAAATAATTATGATGAGAAAATTATTAGAAATGATATAAAAATTATCTAGACAAGTAAAATTCGAATAATATTATAAATACATAATAATTTCAATTTAATTTGAAAATTAACTAAAAATTAATTGAGATAACGATATACTGATTAAAATTATTTGAAAATCATCAAAGATTGAAAATATCTTTTTGAATCATTGGCAGAGAAAATCATCTCAAAATTATAGTGTAATTAACATTCTATAAAATATTTGTAGATCTATAATAAATTATATATATATCAATCTGTAAGATAATCAATAATCAAAATCATTAAACATGCTTAAAATAATGTTTTTTTTTTCAAGGAAAATTATTTCAAGATCATAAATGAATGAATAATATATAATTCTGTTCTGAATAATTATTATGCATTCATTCATTATCAAGTTCATTCGAAGATAATGAAGATTTTTGAGGTTATATTAACGGAAGAATATTTTAACATTTTATTTAAACGATGCTATATATTTTTTGCAAATAGATTAGAAATCTGCAAACGATAGATGTTTAGAATTTATCAAAATAAACGAATACCTCAAAATGCAACAGCGTGAGTGTGATTAATTGTGATAATAATGTAAAAAGATGTAATAATAATATTATCATTATATTGATAATTTTTATTTAAATGATAATTTTTTATTTTTGAAAGATAATTTATGTATTATGTATAATTTATATATTATTATGTATAATTTATATATTATATTTTTATAATAAACAGTACTATTCATGATTATCCATTGAATTAATGAATATGGTGAATTACGATTGAATTACGAAGTACCAATGAATTTAAAAAATTGAAAGAAAAATAATATATTATAAAACTGGAAAAAATTTATTAAAAATAATTTTGAATGCTATTGTCAATAAATCAATAAATTGCTATCTTTACATTCCGTACTTTTTTCACAAAAATTTTTCATACACCTCAAGAATTCGAATTTAAGAAAAATTCTTTAAATATGTATAAATTTTATTTATTTTTATATTTGTTTAATACATAACAAGCATATGTAAAATTGTGTATTTACTTTATCTATATTTACGAAAATATAAAGCAAAATTTGTATCAAACGCAATTTAATGTAAAACATATGCAAATAACTTATAAAGAAAATAAATCAATCAATGAATCCTGGCGAGTTCTTAAGAATACCATAATTTAATTATAATTTTTTCATATAGCAATAATATATGCAAAAAATTATAACATTTTAAGGTATGACCATAGGTTTGGGTCGATTCTTCAAATATGTTTTGATGTTAGGTAATGATTTTACTTTCTCAGACAATTTCTTCAATTCAGGATGGTCCTTATTCAAATCGTATCCAAGCATGTCGGTCAAAGATTCCTCTATTGCTGTGTAGAAAAGATCTGCCCATGTCAACTATAACGAGAATTCACAGTTTAAAAGAGAATTTTTATTATAATATATAATATATAATATATATAATATATATATTATATATTAATATATATAATATAATATAATATA